AGACAGACAGACAGACACACAGACAGACAGACACACAGACAGACAGACACACAGACTAGAACAGAACAGGATACAAACGACAAAATTAGCTACGAAATGTGAACATTTGAAAATTATACATTATATATATTATATGGATAAAATTTGATCAATACAATTATAACATCTGCCGTTATATTTTTTGCCTTGTAGGAAGCCTTCAACATGATCGACCAGAACAGAGACGGCTACATCGACAAGGAAGATCTCTTCGAGATGTTTACGTCACTTGGGAAAAACCCCACCGACCCTGACCTTGATGTCATGATCAACATGGCGCCCGGACCAATCAACTTCACCATGTTCCTAACTCTTTTCGGCGAGAAGCTCAACGGAACTGACCCCGAGGAGGTCATTCGGAACGCCTTTGCTTGCTTTGATGAGAGGAATGCAGGTCTGTAAGCTTTTCGTTTTTACTTTTAGTAAGAGTTTTACGGCATGTGCAACACAATAAGGTCATACAACTGTTATAAGGGGCGAAAATTAGAGATGTAACTAGAGATTGGATAGTAACATACCAAAATTTAAAATTAAAAAAATTGTTATGGAGGAGAGATACGGACGAAGGACGTTTGATAGAAGGAAGTGGTTATTCTCAATTTAAACCAATGTCTTGCTATTCTCACTCCCTCGTTTTACAGGAATGGCCCTAGAGAGATCAGGGCTGAGGATACCGGGGCTGATGCTCCACAGCATCATGTTCATCACTGTTTGTGTCCGATTTCATAGTCACAGTCAGGGTTGTCAGTTTGGAGCCAAATCCCAAAAATTTGGCTCCTTTGGATCGCGCCTGGCCCGGAGAATTTCATTTGGCTCTCTGGCTCCAAACTCCAAATGTTCAAGAAGAAGGGGACAGAAGAGGCAAGAAAAAAAAGAAAAGAAAAAGGAAGAATAAAAGAAATGAAGCAAACCACACGGGGGAGCAGACCAACCACTTCCGAATGCACGTCTCTTCTCAATTGTGTTTGTTTGAGTAAAAAAAAAAAGAAGCACATAGACACAATAACGGTCATTTACTACTTAGGGGAACAATCAAGACTGTCAGGCAGCTATTTGATGTACCGGTACTAAGAACAACATGTTGACTTTTTGTTGTTTTATAAAAACTGCAGTTACGTAATCTTTGACATCAGCAACATATATTATATGCTCCAGAAATATTTGGTCAAAAGTGTTATTATTAGATCTAACCTAGGGGAAAAAAGAAAACGTACATGTTGTAAGTGCAATTTTTGGAAGAACAAAACAGCTGTTTTTCTGTTCTGAAAATTTTCGGTTTCTGGTTAAACAGCTTGGCGTTGAAGAAAATCGGGATGATACCACAAAATATGTCTGGAACAACTTTTTACTTTTTACCACAAAAGAAAAGAAAGCAACAACAGCTGCAGCAGCAGCACCAGTACCACCACCATCACCACCACCGCCACCACCACAACAACAACAACAACACAGCATCCATAGCAAGGCAATGATTTGAGCGTTTCTCCTCTTCAAAAATACGCTAACGGTTTTTGCCTTACACCTCCCATCCCCCATCCCCACCCCACACATCCTTCTTCCTCCACCCCACTTCACCAATACCCACACCCACAACCCACACCCACCAT